CGCTGGCAGTCGTCGGCAGTCGTCGGCAGTCACTGGCAGTCTTATATAAAATGACATTTTGGCAATACGTGTACATTTTTTACCCTAGTGAGACACCCCTCGTATATATCGTAGTCGGCTATGTAAGCGAGGGTGCACACGGTACCACCCTACAAAGTTGGGTACGACGTTTCGCACAAAAAAAATCTTCAGGGTGGGACTAACGATTTGTAATCGAAGAAAAATGTGGGTCGATTTGGGCATAATTAGGGACGGGCTACAGGATGACGCCCTCGACGTTTCGAGCCGGTGCCTCTAAATGGACGAAATCATCAGGATTTTTTCTAATTATGGGTGGATTGGAACCAAACTCGGCACGTGGATAGAGGTGGACGGACAGACGAATAGTGGGACAGAAGGATAGACGGGCGGACTGAGTCGTGTTTTACTTCAAATATGCGCACATATTGCACAACTTTTTTATAATATAACACAACTTTTTTAAAATTAATTATAGTGGTTTGACAATGTTTTTTATTATTTACACTTAATTTTGACCAAAAGCTACCTTTTTGTGAAATCGAACAGTCTCTATATCTTATAGTTTTTAATAAATACTGATAAACATAGAGTGAATTTTTACTAATATAGTTTCTAGTTCTTCGGAATTGTCCCTCAGTTACGATAGTATATTACAGTTCTTTGAAACCCATAGTGTTGAATCCTACAGTATCAATTTCATACCTCTTGCCTCACTACTACCTATTAGTTTTCTTTGTTATCTTCGGCAGGTAGTTTTGTCTCTATGAAATTTATTATCTTGAGACCTGTGCAAACCTCCAATTGAAAAATAATGTAAATTGGAGTGCTCTGCTCGTCTGCATTGGATCTCTCCTCTGACCCTTAACAGAAGATAGGGTCAAGTGGTGTAAAAATGAGACACTTTTCAAAACTTTGATGAAAATAAACTTGCTATTAAGTTGTCTAACATTTTTACCCCTACATTGTGTCATTATAAGATACCACTGTATCTCATTTATTCAGTATTTTATTAGTCTCATATTTACCCCTCCAAAAAATATCGTCTCATACTATCAGGATTTAATTTAAACGGGCATACCTTTCTAGATCATATATCGTAACCTATCTACGCACGCGACGACAGGAACATGGCATGTCCTCTCTGGGGGCAGCTTTGATAGTTCCTTATCCCGCTAGAAGCGCACCGGTCGAAAAATTGCCGCTACTTTATTTCAAATCAGGGCCATCTAAGTTAAATATTCAAATGGCTCCAGCAAAAGTTTTCGGTTCACGACGACTGTTGGCGCTGATCGTCAAAATCATGTAAAAATGTTTGTACAGGGATTTTGCTTACCGTCAATACGACGTGAGCTACGACCAGGACCAATGTTGCAGTTTGCAGTTTGATTGTTTTGTTTGCAGTTTGATTTCTCGGTTTTGATATTATGTTAAAATTAATGTTGAAGTATTGTATCATCTGTTTTTATGTAATAG